CCAAAAGTGATTGTTTTCATACTCTCTCGCTTCTGTTTGCATTTCGGACGAAGGAAAATAATGCTTTATACCAATTATCGTTTGGGAAAACGACCAGATGTTGACTCATTAATTTTCTTTCATTTTATTTCAATTTCTATTTGTGTTTGCACATTTCCATTTTCACTTTTTCCAAGTCAAATTCAGTGTTGGAGCTTTCGTTGTGTCCACGGGCAGTACAGTTTGATGTGTTATGTATGTATGTCTGTATGTGCGAGTATGTATGCACAAGTACGTGACACTGTTATTAGCTTATCACTGCTAATTTTATTCTCCACTTATATTTTTAGACCAAATACGATACTTTGTACTTCGTACTAGATAAACTGGCAAATAAAGAAACAAACTTGAAATCGTATAATGGGGTTAATGCACAAACAATAAACAAATAAATAATAGTTGTGAAAACAAATAAATTAACAAAGGTGGAAATATGTAAATATGGACAGGTGGGTGCTTTGTGCTTTGAGTGGTCATTACCATGTAGGGAGAAGGTGGCCTAGTATGCAAAAATTCTAGTTAAATACCAGTATTTTGAAGATGAAATCATACGAGTTGGTTGGTTTGTACATATAAGAGTTCAGCAGTAACGGGAGTAATAAACTTTTTCACCACTGTTGGTTGTTGTTAAATCCAGCGCGTCACGTCTATGTAACTCAGTTGCGCTCTGTTGAAGAGCACAAAATGACGTTCATCGCTTGGTCGTTACGAAGGCAGGGTCGTTTGAGGATATCATTGTAGATCGTGAAGCTTACGGTTCGAGTCGCGCTGCGGATTATTTATTTATTTATTTATTTTGGTAAAGTAAAACTAGGTGAACTAGTATATAACTGGTATAAAGCTTATGCTTAGTCCGACAATTGATAGTTCGTAGGACATCGCCATGGGACATGGATGGAAGATGAACGAAAGAGAAACGAAATAAGAAGTTTTATTTTGAATTACCTGCTATTACGGTTGATTTCACTTTTGCAGTTGTAATTTTTTTACATTTGACAAACTACGCCCATAATAAAAGTGGAAGACTGCAGGCTCCAACAATGCATTGAAATGATCAAAATTCACCACTAAAATGGTGAATCCCTGGCCGAGACGTTTCGTAAGACTAAAACATTTTTCGGTCACCGTGAAACACCTTGTCGGACCGTAATACAGAAATTGGTGGAAAAAATGGAGCCGATGGGACAAGTTGGTGATATGAAGAGTAAACACTTACGCGTCGCAAGACTTGGGTTTTAAAGCTTATAAAATTCAATTAACACAAGAAGTCAGGCCGTCCGATAATCAACAACGTCATGCCTTTGCTGACTGAGTCCTTTAAATGCTTGAAAATGCTCCGGAATTTCAGGGAAACCCCATCTTGACTGATGAGATTCATTTCCACCTTGATGGCTACGTCAAGAAGCTAAATGATCACATCGTTCCATCCTCAAAGCGTAACTGTCTGATGCGGCTAGGTTCGGCGAGGTGATTGGACCATAATTTTTCGAAAATGATGATGATGAATTATGGTGAAAGGAATGAGCTTTCGAAAGATGAAGTGTGTTCATCAGGCCAACGTTCACTTTCAACAACACAGCGTCAGCCTCGAAGAGGTGATCACAGCTGGTCACCGATAGCTTGTGATTTAACACCTTGCGACTTCTTCCTTTAGAGATAATGCCTACGCCAACAGGCCAACTTCGATTCAAGACCTCAAAGATAGAATTCGTGATCGTTTATTAAAGCAGATATTTGGCGGCTCTTGTGTCGCAGTGTTTTCTTATTCGGGTTTTATTTTTCCAATTATTCCTCTCATGGTTTCTATGGCAAAGAGTTTACCAAAGCAGAAAGTAAAAATGGTGTAGTAGAATGAGAAAACTGAAAACTCCCAGAGAAGCCAGTTATCACAATGGAGTTTCCGATGGAACTGAGGTCTTCTCTTTCCCTGTTCCTACTAGCGGCTACTGTATCGAATATTCTCAGAGATTGAGAGTTTTGAGTAGTCATGACTTAGCCAACGAAGCCACTATGTATTGAATCGGTGATCTAAGAAGTGTGAAAATTAAGTTATGAGACCGATTGCGTAAAAATCGTATATTTCGAAATTATTCTACAACTTTGCCATCACCTTTAAAGTAGTCCCCTGGGGCAGCTATACAACTCTTCTAGCGCGTTTTCCATACTTCGTAACATTTCTGTAACGCTTCGACTGGGATGTCCGCGAGTACCCTCGTCACGACCGCCTGGATGTCCTCAATCGACTCAAAATTGGTTCCTTAGAGCACTGATTTTCTTCTAGGAAACAAAAAGAAGTCACAGGGTGCCATATCGGGCGAATAAGGCGGTTGTTGCAATGCGGCGATCCCTTTAGAGGCCAAATTCTCGGAAATGCTGAGCACGGTGTGGCACGGCGCGTTGTCGTGATGAAGGAACCAGTTACGTGCGATGTCTGAACGCACCCTGTTAACTCGTTTTCACAATCTTTCGAGTACTTGGCGATAGTAGACCTGATATATGGTTTGCCGCGGAGGAAGAAATTCTTTGTTGATCTCGTTATTGGGTTCCTACTAGAGTTTATGGATCGAGCAGAGAGTGTGCTCTTCCAATTCGTTCCAAGTCTGCGAGCATTACCCCAGCCAGACAGCTTCTCAAGCTCAACATATACATAATTGAAATTTTGTCCGAACGAACTTTTTACTTCACCTAATATAACCAACAAGAATGCTCTGAAAAAAATTTTACAAGAGAACTAATCCAAAATCTCGACGCAAGTAGTGTCCAGCTTAGTGGAATAAATATCATGGAGGTTAGAAGTAGTTAGCTGTGCAAAGGGAAGACAGACAGAGTATTAGCTTGTGAATTTCTTAATTATTCCCAAACTGTACACTTACTTTTGACGCTGATTGTATGTACTTAAAGTTGATCTATGAAGCCGTAGTAGAACCATTATCGTTTCTTCACATTTCACCTACGTGTATGTATGTATGTATTTATGTACGAGTATGTATGGGAAATTGTCAATTTTATCATTCCCCAATACATATCGCATTTAGGATTGTTTAAATATGCGTTCGGCATATTTGTATGTGAAAGTAAATATTTACGATTATGTGTGATAAAATAGTACGTATATATGTATACCGATACATATAAATTATCTATGTACATATGTATGTATGCAGAAGTGTATATACGAAAACATGTGTTCGAGAAGTTTGTAATTTTCTTGTATATTATTTAAGCTATGTATATATGTATATAGGGTTTTCCAATAAGAGGTGTTATTTTCATATTCAAAGAAAAAAGGTATTTTTAGAGATAAATTATCGGATGTTTATTGCAAAGAAAAGAGGAAGATAAGTCATAAATCCGAACTCGCCAATCCGACCGAAGGGCGGATCTGAGAGATGATTGAAAATCCAGCAGACCAGTGACTGAAAACCACTGGCAGTCCGACTGCCCTGAATCCGAAACTGATCGCGGAAGGTCGGTGTTACACTTGCCTCTTACACTGATCAGCTACGGATTTGTTCATCAGCTGCCATAAAATTGCATGGAAAAGAGAAGATTGAATTTACTTTATTATTTAAAGTACTCAGTAAGTAGGTTTTGATACAGAAGAAAGTCAGTTTTCAACGAGTAGAAAAACAACATCAGCCAAATGGCTGTCACGGCTAAGTTTACAGGATCATATCCTTTTTATGCACTTTTCTATCACCAAACTGCAAGGTCACTGCCATATGCCCTCAATAGCTTCACGAATTCCATCTCTGAGGCCTCAAAACGACGTTGGTCTGTTGGCGTAGACTTAGTTCTTCACGTGGCTCCAAAGTAAGAAGTCGCAAAGTGTTAAATGACAAGAACTTGATGACCGGGCTTATCAGTTCGAAAGATAGCACGGACCGGACATTTTTTACACTTAAAAGATCGTTGGCTTCGTTATTTGTATGACACGTATCGCCGTCTTAATGAAAGCAAACTTTGTCCAGATTAATACCATACAATTCCTGCCTTAAAAAATCATTAATCATCTCTCGATTGCGCAATCCATTCACCGCAACTGTTGTGACCACCTTCATTTTCAAAAGAAGTACAGTCCAAAAACCACACCAAATAGTGCCACGTTGAAGATGAAGTGGCTTCCGAGCTCCAGATGCGACTATTTTACTTATTGACGCAAACATCGAGGTGGAAATGGACCTCCACAGAGAGTGATTTTTTGTTGAAATTCCGTATCATTTTCATGCATGTCTAGGACCCAGTGAGCAAAGACAAGACGTTGTTGATCGTCCATCGGCTTGAGTTCTTGTGCTAACTGAATTTTATAAGTCTTAAGACGCAAGTCTTGGTGCAAAATACGGGTGTGTTGACATTTGTGGAATGCCAAATTCTAAAGTACAACGAGGAAAGCGCAAAACTGGGTTTTCTGCAGGAAAATTCTCAGTTGTTCTTGAGCGACGTGCACGGGTTTTATTCTTCACAACACTAACTTGTCCCAACCGCTTCATTTTACCCATCAATATTTGTATTGCGGTCCAAAAAAGATGATTCACGACGAACGAAAGTTGTTTTAGTTTTACGAAACGTCTCGGCCACGAATTCACCATTTTTATGGTGAAATTTAATCATTTTAATGCGTTGTTCAGGCGTGTAACGTATCAATTTTATTACTGGCGTAGTTTTAACTTGTCAAATGTCAAAAAATTACAGCTTCAAAAGTGACATCTAACGAAATAGCAAAATATTCAAAATAACACCCCTCATTGGCAAACCCTTTATGTACATAAATACATATTTACGTGTACATACATTTTTATGTATATAAATAATTATGCACGAAATATGTGTTTATGTACATACATATGTACATATGTACATTATGATTGCATGTACATAAATACATATGTTTGTACGTATGTCTGTTGCGTTTGTTTATTTGTAGTACGAAATGATTAAGTGATTTCCTCTTTCTTTAACAGCGTCACCAACAATTGCTTATCTAATCAATACGACTGTTCAATACCAACTATTTTCGGTTTGGCAATCACTAATTGCTCTTGTACATGTACAGTTGTCGTTGGTTAAAACAGTTGATACACACACAACGCGCACGTTTGCACTGCTATGCGTTACACGGATAGTGACTCTATTAGCGCACCCTTACTCGACGATCGCGCAAATGTTGAAGGCAACGCAGTCAAAACCGAGACTACGGGCATATCGAACAACAGCGCTATGTTGAAACGTAAAAAATATTTAATAATACTTTTGTGCTTGAGCATATTTGGCAGTTTTCTGGGCATCATCCATTTGGTCAGCACTGCGCCGGAGTTTAATCAATATAGAATATTACGCGCCTATCAAAATCAAATCGAAGAAGAAGCAACGCGTGCTAACAGTCAAAGACCGCGTACCATACTCTTTTGGAATAGTTTTTTCAACAATAAACGTTGGGGTCTGGATGAAGATACAGTGGGACCAGACTATTTTCGCGATAATCTACGTTGTCATGAGTATCGTTGTGATTTGACAAATAATCGTGATTTCCTGCCTGACATTGAGTTATTCGATGCGGTGCTCTTTCATGCCGCCGAGCCATATCCTTTCCTGCAATCGGTGCCGAGTAAACGTGCTGCACAACAACATTATGTTTTCGCGCTAATGGAACCGCCGGGCGAGACCAAACATGTGCTCTCCGATGAGGGTAATTTCTATAATTTGACAATGAGCTATCGGCTCGATTCGGATATAGTGTGGCCGTATCAGGTGATTGAGGATATCGAAACTGGCGAGGCTGTTGCGCCGGCTGTGCATACTAAATGGCGTACGGTGCCGGGTGATTGGAATGACACAAGCGTCTGGCAGTTGTGGGCGGGTAAAACCCGTATGGCCGCTTGGTTTGTGTCGCATTGTGAGACATTGTCGAAGCGCGAAAAATTGGCAGCAGCTTTGCAGGAACACATTGATGTTGATATTTATGGAAAGTGTGGCAATTTAAGGTGAGTCCACAAAGGTCATTTATTCAATTCATTCGTACGCAAGTGTTTCCACCTTCTTTTTAAGGGCTTGTGCTAATTAATGGAAAAGTATTTCGGATAATAAGTTTTTGTTGTTATTGTTGGTTGTGTGTTCTATTAAATATAACCGTCGAAAAATTAAGAACCTAATTCATAGATTTCTGAGAGAATCAAAGTGGCTGAATGGCGTTACCTTATGGTTATTAATTTATGGCATCACCACGGGTTTTATTCAGGCCTTGGTGTAATCGATTTAATTCATGACTCATCGGTAACTGCCATAACACTACCTAACCTAGAAAATTTTCTTTCTTTTTCTTTCCGAAGTTAAAACAGATCACTTTTCCTTTATTTTGATAGCAGACGACCTCAAAAACGAGGTGGCTAGCATAGCGTACTGCTATTTGAAAGGCCAGAGTTCGACTTCAAGTTCGACTAACAACCAAAATTAACTTTTCCCATTGTGCTCGTCTCTCGGCAGGGAATGACAAGCCCTCTTGGCGTATTTCTGACTTGAATTCAAAAGCTTCTTATACCAATCTATTGGACGTTCCAAGACGACTTAGAACAAAAAGAAAATACAAATGCAAATCACAGACTTCATAGACACTCTTCGCTGGAAGAACAAAAAGCCCAAAAAGCGTATATATGTATATTTTCCAATTGATTATTGACCTTCGAAGCAACTGTCAAATGTTTTTGACAGTATGGCCACGCAGAAATGTGAGTTTTTCTCCCCATTGGAATAAGTATTTCTCTCACCATAGCACCACTCACCACTGTTTGACACAGGTGCTAATCACAAATTTGTATTTTTTGTTAGCTTATCTCTGAAAAGGCTGCCTTTGTTGTACGTAATATATGTTGTACATATACAAAAGTAATTTCATATTCTTCTGTATTGGTGTAGATACCGCTTTATATTATAGCTGAAATAACAACTGCGCGCCATTCGTGTCTTCCCTAAACCACCGTTCGGCGTCAATTGGAGGCACCAAGGGTATACAGAATCTACTCCAACTGCTCTTTTCAATAGAGTGGAGGTTTTCCTCTTCCTCCACCTCCACCGGCGAATACTGCATGGATAACTTTTCTTAATATTGTCGCATATTCTGTAGAGATCTATGTTCCATTGTTTGCGTTATTCACCGACGCTTATAAAGGTTCCTTTATCTTTAAAAGAAAAAAAGACACAAAAAATTCAAATTTAATGAGGAATGTTTATTATCAATTGAAGGAACATTGCTTGACCTTTATTTTTTGAAAATTATTTTTTTCAAATGTTGGCCGCGCCTACGTCTCAGATAGTCCATCCGTTGAGTCTAATTTTCGATGACTCGTTCGAGCATTTCGACTGGTAACTGGCGAAAGACACGCGTGATGGTTTGTTTCAAAGCCTGAATCGAAACGGCATTGTCCGCATAGACTTCAAAATTTATAAATCGTCACAAGAAAAGTAATATGGTGTGATGTAAAACGATCTTAGTGGCCAGTCGACTGGCGCAATACGTCAGATGAACTGTTCACCGAAGAGTTCTCTCATTAAATCCAACGATTGTTGCGATGTGTGGGAAGTGGCACCGTCTTGTTGAAACCAAATCTCGTCGAGGTCTTGAGTTCAAATTTTTCTGGCATCACATAGTCAGTTAGCATGTTTGCCGTTGACGGTTATGTTCTCATCGGCATAATTTTTGAAGAAACCGTTGTTTTCTCTGAATGAAATGACTAACCTTGTAGCTCTGCAGGTTGCTCTTCGTCCCGAATGCAGAAATTTTGCTTGTTTACATATCCATTTTGACTTTTGAAAAAACTACGTCTACTTGGATCACCCGTTACATAACGAATCATGAATCTTCTGGGAAATCTCTCTCTCTCTCTCTCGAAGACTTTGATTGTCGACATTATCAGTTGTTGTTGTAACCGCAAAAATATACCCCAAAGTAGTTTTTGGGGAATGTTGCGGGAGTGACTTGGCCGGATTAAAATCCGCGTAGTTTCGGTGTGAATTTTAGTCGCCTCTTACGACATGCATGCCTTACCGCGGGTAAACTCTTGAGCCCCTAACACGCCGGGGGGATCGGTTGTTGCCAATTTACATGCTTCTGCTTTATAAAATAGTGCAGAATTGATGAGCGATTTGTAGCGTTTGGTCTTTGCTTGTAAAGATAGAACTTTCAGTCCATAGTTGTGCCTGTGGACGAGAGTGTTTATGCTTACATTTTCCAGACCGACATCGCTTTTGTTGTTGTTGTTTATGTCGATGTTTGACTCAAGGGAGACGAAATTATATTTGAATTTCCTCTACGACTTTCCTCTACGGTATTTTCTTTTGCCGTTCGTTCGCCACCAGAACCATTCGCCTCGCAATTAAGAGGGCGCAGAATTTTCTTTGGGCTGATGATGTCAATAGGTCTGCAGCTCGTTTTATTTTCGCCAGCGTTTATAAGATTTACATATGTACAAGGGAAGGTCGTTTGCATAAGTGAAATTTATTCCTACTGGTAATGAAGTAGGTGCAGCTCTGCTTTTCGTATATGTAGGTATGTATGCCGAATACTTGTTATAACAGTACTTCAAATGTAACAATTTTCTTAAGTATTTGTTATTGTTTTACATTATAAAGCTCTGTTGCTGTCGGATTTGTTTGTAGAATTTTTTCACTTTGAAAAAATAAACGCAATCTATTTGTCTATACTTCTTGATACATATATATTTATACAGCCATGGTCAAAAGTATTAGGCACCCCCCTAACTACTGAATTTTTTGTTTTAACAAGTGACGTATCGAAGTTTTATTAGTAAAACAGTGAAAATACAATGAATTAGTGATAATAACATTCATATTTAGTAGGTCCACTCTTCGATTTAATGAAGGCAGCAATTCTCTTAGCCTGCGTACAAACTTTGCACATTCGTCCGCACTTATAGCGCACCACTCGTTAATTAAGACATTCTTTAAGGAAGTTTTTGATATTATACTGTGTTTCTTAATCTTGCGTTTTAAAAAAGCCCACATGTGCTCAATGGGACTAAGATCTGGAGATTGTGCAGGCCGATCTAACAAAACAATGTTGTTATCTCTAAACCAACGCATCGTAGTCGCTGATTTGTGCCAAGGAGCATTGTCTTGCTGACATTGAACACCGTCTAAATTAGTATCGCCGAAAATGCGCGTTAACGAAGGCAGAAGAACAGCTTCTAATTCATTTATGCACTTTTGATTATCCATGCGACCCTCGCAAAACGAACATTTCGCCGACACCATTAGTAGCCAAGCAGCTCCAGAGCATATTCATCATATTCTTCCACAACCCGACGCCTCACGAACGTCACACTAGGCGTTCCAAATATCTGTAGAAAAGAAAAAATAATGTTTTCATAAGATTTATATTATGTCTTCAAAATTGCTCTAGGGTAAGAAGCTATGGCTGTTAATAGTTTAAGACAACCTTAAGCTAAGCTTACCCCGAAGTTGGATTCATCCGACCACAGAAAATTCGACCAATCTTTTTCCGTGAAATGTTGGTTTCGGCGAGCCCATTCCTAACGATTTTTCCTATTCTTTTCTGGGAGCCACGGCTTCTTTCGGGCTTTACATCCTTTTAAATCTGCTTCCAGAAGTCTTTTTCTAGCTGTTCGAGCGCTAACTGGTTTACTAAATTTATACGAAAGCGCGGAAGAAGATTTTTACGATCCTTGAGAGACTCTCGTATAAATCACTTTTTGATTTATTATTATGGGATTTCGTCTCCACAAATCGCCTGATAGCACATTGGACCGTGCACCGCGAACATTCCAACAAAATGGCAATCTCAACCTGAGATTTACCTTCTTGACTTGAAACGTGAATTCTTACTCTATCATCGTAGCTGATTTCACTTTTTTTTGAGGCACTTCGGTATATATGAACTGTTTTTATAAGATTGGTAACTTTTCCCTAAATCTAATTTACACTTTCACTTTCAAATTTTATATGCGAAAATATTTTGTGAATTTCTTAAAAATGACCATTTTTAGATTTAGCTTATCCAGAGTGCTATGACTTTTAATATTACACAATTTATTCGCTTAATCAACTGTTAAACACCCATGTAAGACATTTACAAAAAGAAGTGGTAACTTTGATAGCCACATTTGAGAATACTTGTATTTTAGTGGGGTGCCTAATACTTTTGGTCAAGACTGTATGTAGTATTTGTATATATGAATAGATATGTCTCAAGAAATACGCGATAAATTGCAAAGCAATAGGTAAACACATACAAACATATGTAGTAATGGAAATATTTTATTTCATATTTCAAGATATATACATACATACATAGGGTAAATGTGCTGGTGAGGGGATATTGCTAAGGTTTTTTTTTTTGCAAAAAAAAAAAATAAGAAAACTGTTAAGAAATTTTTTGTAAAAATAAGCAGGGATTAATTTGAAATTAAAAAAAAAATCATTTTTATATAATTTCGTCAACGCTTCTATTTAAAAGCATCCCCTAAGGAAGAGTGTGAAAAAGTAATTTTGTTTTTAAGGGGCACACCTAGTGTAATGGCCTAAAAAAAGGTGATTTTTGGGAATTTTTATTAAAAAAAAAAAATAAAATATCTATTATTTAAAAATTTTAAGAATATATTTATACATGTTTCAAAGTTATACAGTTAAATTTTTGAAGAAAAAATTAAATATTTTTTAGTTATAGTCTTCAACGGCGCAAAAAAAAGGTCCTTCACTGCTGCAGCAATTCCGGCCTTCTTCGTGGATGAATTCTAAAAAAAAAAATTCTCTGTTAGATAATATTGCCTGTACAATGACCTACGATAAAAAACATCAAAAATTGACAATATGGCGTTTTAAAAAAATAGTCGAATTTTTTCCAAAATTTTGGTCGTTTTAGGCCTGCCAAAATTCGATTTTTTGATCAGATCAAAAATCGATGGGTCGTTGTACGGAGAACTATATATAGAACATGTGAACACAAGTCGATAGTGATCGGATCATTTGTTTTTGAGTAACCACTGCAGCAAATTCGGAAAATGCTGTTTCGTGAAAAACGCGTTTAAAGATAAAATGATCGTTTTCACTCGTAGCTAATGAGACTCTCTAGCTGCCGAGCGGCTGCTCTTTAAATTGCTATAACTCAAAAACTATTTGAGATATCGGTTTGAAATTTAAATATGTTATTATTGAAGGTGTAATCTACTGAAATATTATTTTAAAATTTCACACTAGGTGTACCCCTTAAGTTAAAGAGAGATTTTTAAATGAAGAATTATAAGTTAATATTAATAGGTATGAGCTTGATAGTGTTTAGTGTTATTTGTTAATTGCTATATAATTAGTTTGGAATGCTAAAATACTAAAACAAAATATTTTCTTTTTAATGAATTCGACTCTTCGGTTAATGGAATGAAAACAGTGCTCTTTTTCTATGTACGTACAGTGTTGTGCGGCAACTAAAAATGTATAGAAAATATAATTTTGTTGTTTCGTTGTTCTACAAGTTCACTTTAACTAATTTTTTTTTAATTAAATAATAAATACACTGACGGGGAGAACATATGACTCTACCTAATTAACAAAATCCTTAAGTCTTCTCTCTTAAAACTTTGTAAGAAAAATTTTCGGAGTTTAATATTAGAATGTATTTAATAATAAAATATACAACCTTTAAACATAATTGCAAAAATTTAAAAATAACTTATGGATGTGGAAAAAATTATAATTAAGTGTTTTTAAAAAACCTCAACTATTTAACACTCTGTACTCGTATTATTGGATGAGTGCATAAGTTCGTGCCCGATTTCAAGTGCAAACTAAAATTGAAAATTTTTGAAGAAAGCGCTTTTATTAATCAATTATGTATTTGCCATCGCGTTAGGCAAGCCACGCCCAACGTTCAACCAATTTACGGATGCCTGATTCATAGAAATCGGTGTCAAGGTGGTTTTTGACGTCTTCCACATTTTGAAATTTTTTTCCATTCAAATTGTTCTGCAAACAAATGATAATCAGAAGGTGCAATGTATATTTCTTTCACGAGCGCCACTCTCAAACGATTCGAACGGCATCCAGCGGAATCGGGCACAAACTTAAGCACTCATCCAATACAATTTTATATATCCGCACTGTACACACAGATATGTGAGATACTAGTCTCTCTCCTTTAGGCATCAAGAGAAGGTGAGAAGCTACTGCCGGTTCTACTGTAAACTAGATCAGTTATTTAAAGGCTCTGACGATCTACTCCCCCTTCCGTAAGGCCCTGCTGAGTTACATATATACATATATATAACGTTATGACGTCGGAACCAAGGCCAAGTCATCCCAATGGAAGCGTCCTGTAGCGTTTTTCAAATTGCATAATATCTCATCATAATGAAACCTTTTGCCACGAAATTTTCGGGAAAGAAATGGAAAAATTTAATTTGGATTTAATAAGACTAGAAAGTTTCCGGAAATTTTTATTCAAACTATATGTATATACGTGGGCTGAATATGTCCTGTTTTTGAAATCAGTTGACCTCAGTTCCCTCTGTGAATTTTCTTTTACGGCTTCAATCGAGTCGAAACGAGTTCCACGGAGTGCTAACTTGAGTTTTTGAAACAAAAAAAACTCGTTTGGGGCCATATACGATAGTTGATCGATGGTTGATCGTTGGTATTGAAGGAGTTTTTGGTCTTAAAATCGTTCACAACTAAACAAACACCTCAAAACGCTCAAATAATACCTTTTATTGACTGTCTGTGCCGTTGAAACGAATGCATGATGAATCAAACCGCGAATATCGAAGAAAACAGTTTCCGGAAACTTTCTGATCTCAACGTAAATATGTATGTATATATTGGGTTGCCCAAAAAGTAATTGCGGATTTTTTAAAAGAAAGTAAATGCATTTTTAATAAAACTTAGAATGAATTTTAATCAAATATATAATTGCCATTTTGTTCGATAACCTTTTGCCATCTTCCTGGCAAATTTAGTATTCCACGCTCATAGAACTTCTGGCCTTGATCTGCAAAAAACTGAACCAAGTGCGATTTTATAGCCTCATCATTGCCGAAAGTTTTACCATTTAAGGAGTTCTGCAAAGATCGAAATAAATGGTAGTCTGATGGTGCAAGGTCAGGGCTATATGGTGGATGCATCAAAAGTTCCCAGCCAAGCTCACTCAGTTTTTGGCGAGTGACCAAAGATGTGTGCGGTCTAGCGTTGTCCTGGTGGAATATGACACCTTTACGATCGACCAATTCTGGTCGCTTCTCCTTGATGGCTGTATTCAATTTGTCCAATTGTTGACAGTAAACATCTGAATTAATCGTTTGGTTCCTTGGAAGTAGCTCAAAATTTATTTAATATTTATTCATCACATAGTTCTATAGTTTTTTATGACCTCCGGTTTACCTTCAATTCTTATTTAAACTCTCTTCTTGCGTTATGAGACAATCAGTTTACCTTTGAACTTAACTCAGTAGTAGTAATATTCGATTCACGAGGTCAGTAAAAGTTTTGGTTTGTCAAAAAACTTATTTTTGGTGAAAAAAGTATGATAAATTCGCCTTAAGTGCCCCGAGGTAAAAAAAAATTATAATAAAATATTATCGCCTTGTATAAAAGTTGTTTTTTGCGGATACAAAAAATTTCCCGAAAACTATTATTTTTTATTTATAAATATATGACATGTATATCACAACCTGTATATGTATTGCAATATATTGCGATTGAATTTCCATGATTAATAATAATGAGCAATACTTTTGTTTTTAATTTCCATTGAATTCAGATCAAATACAATGTTACACAAACTTACCGTTGACGCTTTGTAACCGCTGAAGCGATTTTCGGCCGATTTCCTTCTCCTATTAGTAGTTTTGCTTCTTGATGTTTTTCCAGCAAATTGAGCGCTCTACAATTAATTCTAAACCACCACCGAACAGCCAACAGATTTTTATGAGAAACTTTTATTTTATGTCAGAAATACACTCGGAGGTCTCTCTAGAGTACAACAGTAGTCGCACATCAGACCTTCAAACCAAAACACTCAGTAACGTCTTTCGGTGTCGCTCGTATCGCCACAGTTTGCGAGGAAAGAATCATAGTGGTAATGCAGAAAATGTATTTTTATACACATTCTAGCTCCAGCCGTTCGAAAACTTTTCACTCAGATTTTCTTTCTTGAAATTCGGATATTTTTGACTACCAAGAAAATGTTGAACAGTATTTTGAAGAGATGCTTATGCTGCTGCTTCATCGAGGGTTAAACATTTCATAAAATCTCTGCTGGCACTTAATTTTCTTATATCAGGCCCAAAAAAATATTCCTTCTATGATTTTTGCCTATCAGAATTTAGGAAACAACATGAATAAATACTGAAAAGCTGCTCCTTAACGAAGTTCTTAATGTCTGAGATTTAGAGGAGACAGCAAAATGTCTTGTAGACTTACAAGTGGGACAGCGGAAACAGTTTGCTATCCAAGCTCATATTGATCACGTCTTGCGGAATCTTTTCTCACAAAACGATATTCAGTTGTGCAGATAACGTAAATAAAAAATTTGGAAAGTTCAGATATCATGCGAATCAAGAGACCAATTGCCTTTCAAAATTACAGGGTTATTCATTTCAGCTTAAGAAAAGTGCAGACCTGAATTTTGACATCTGTCAAACTTAACTGCTAAACTAAACCGATTTTATTTTAGTTAGAGGTCAGCTATTTACGAAAATGGAGCACTTAAGAACCCCATAACGCGTTTAAATTGTTAAAATCTACCACAAAAATTGTGAACTCACCCACCACGTTTCGTGCTTTAAAAGAAGGTTATGGTGCATTTAAACGTCCAACTACTCAAGGAATTTGGTCTATTGTTTTTATTTTTTTTTATAAAAATTTTCAGAGTCTGGATCGGTTACAGATATTATAACACCTGTCCATCATCATTTTCCTCGTTCGTATATAAGCAAAACCGTCGCATTTATGCCTCCGAGAATCCTCCAGTAATTGCAGAGAGACCATTGTAGCCAAAAAGCTTGGTGCGTGGCGCGCTGTCTCTCGTGCGGAGATATGATGGGACCTTACTAATTTGCAAACGATAACAGAGAGACGGGGTTCGGCGCGTTCTGGTCGTATGATAACCGACTTTTTGTTCTGTCTTGCAATTGAAGAACACAAGTTGAACTTAATATGCCACAAGCCACACAACATGAGGGAATAAAGCTTTATTGCGATTGATTTTCCGGCCGCGTAATCTTCGCCGTGGCGATGTCAATTGACCACTGAGATCGTGGGATTTCACTTTGTTGGCCTTTTTTTTTGTGGGTATAAACGAAAGACTTGCTTTATGCGTATAAACCTTTAACTCTTGAGCACTTGGAGACCAATAGTCCTCAAATAATTGCTGAGATACCGTCAAGTATGTGTCAAAAAGTATACGAAAATCACCTCAAATGGAACGAAGATTTTAAAATTTCGGGTGGCGGTTATTTGTAGGATATATCAATTTAACTTCCAAAGTAGTACTAAAATTTCACTTACTTTTTTTGTAGATATATTTTCTCGATATTATATTGAGAATTAAATTAAAAATCTTACTTATCAAAATGTTCTATTCTGTCTTTCTTGCAGTTGCCCCTACACTTCAAATGAATGCGATGAACTATTGGATACACGTTATAAATTTTATTTTTCCTTTGAGAATTCTCTATGCAACGATTATGTAACCGAGAAGCTATACAACGCTATGAAGCGTAACGTGATACCTGTCGTCTTTGGTGGCGCCGATTACAGTCGTTTTGTGCCACCAAACTCTGTGATAGATGCTGAAGATTATCAGAATGCCGAGGAGCTTGCTGCATATTTACGATATTTAGCAACACATCCGGAGGAGTATATGCGTTATTTTTGGTGGCGTCAATACTATCGTCTGAGTTATCGTTCACCGTACTGTGATCTCTGTGAGAAGTTGCACAGTGTGCCATTTATGCAGAAAAGTCAAACATATACGAATATTGAGAAATGGTGGATGGGTGATCAGTGTCGTTTTGAGGCTAAAATTAAGTTTTAGATTTAAATAGAGAAAAAGTAAAAAAAAAAATTATTTATTTTAGATAAATTTATAAATATTTTTGACAATTTTATATATATTCCATTTTGCGTGCTAACTTAGTGTTACTTAAGTCGTTATAAGGAGGTATTAAAGTTGTGTATTTTAAAATTTTGTTGCCAGCATTTATGCCTTAAAAAAAGAAAAAGAAAAAATCGAGAACAACTTTCAACGAAAATTTAGTATTCCACAAATACTAGCGATAATTTTAAGCCTCAAATTTTTAATTATTTACCAAAGAAGCACTTATATAATTAACTAAATCGTTGTTTGTATTTAGTAAATTTTTTTCACTGTACTTAAAGTTTTTATTTTCTTTCAATTTTAAGATCAAGTAAAAAGTTCAGTTTTTATCCAAGAGATGGCGTTATTGTCCATAGTACTAGTGTTACGTGTCGTATCATGTCATACTATACGACGCTGAAAAATTGTTTATTCGCGCTAAAAGTTTGTCTCCGACAGTTTTTCGATTGATTGACTCAGTACGTTGTGAGCGCTCGTCAAAGATGGTCCATTGCGAACGCGCTTAATGGTGAGAAGTTGGCCTCAAGAGAGACCTGTGAAAATTGGCTCTCCGAGTTTTTTTTTGCCAATAGGGACGCAGCCTTCTGAGAGAGGAGTAAATTGGCATCTCGTTTACGAAGAAAACTGCGCATATTTGACTTAAATCGGACTTAAATGTACACAAAGTTATCATATTTTGAAGAAATCAATGAAAGAGCGAAATTTTTACGTGACCAAAATATTGTTATTTTTTGAGCTTATTACACCACAATAGTCATTAATGAAAAAAAAAATAATTATGCTAATTTTTTTTTTTAAAGATAAGGAATGAAATTTGAAACAAACACAATTTATGAACCTACAGCGTGATTAATGGCACGTCGAAATACTTAAGTTTTTATGCTGTATATATTGTGTGTATGTATGTGTGTATATACAAATAATTTTTGCAAAATATAGCTTACAAAAATCGTTTCGCTCTGTTTCATTATGAAATGTTAGAACACACTGTGCCTACTGTTTTTAACATAGAAATTAATGAATAAAAAATTGTACAATAAATTTTTTTTTACACAAATTTAATTGATTTGCATTTTTTAATTTTGTTTTAAATATATTTTTTTGATTGCTCGAAGGAAAATTTGTTTTAATAAAGGATTTCCTCACAAAGTAATAAAAATTTAAAATATTCAATGAGAAAATATAAAATAATCACTAGAAAAGATAAAATATATTAAAAATTCAATAAATAAAAATATTAATTAAAAGTAACCAATTAATAAAAAATTTGTAATAGATTAAAATAAGTTTTAATAAAAAAATAAATAAAAAATAATAAAAATAAAGAAAAAATAAACATAAAAATAAATAAAAAATAATAATAAAAATAAATAAAAAACATTAATAAAAATAAATAAAAAATAATAATAAAAATAAATAAAAAATATTAATGAAAAATTAAAAAAATAAAAAATAAAAAAAAATATTATAATTTTTTTAATATAAATAAAATATATTAATAAAGAATTAATAAGAATAAATAGAAAAATAATAAAATAATAAATAAAAAAATAAATAAAAAATAATAAGAAATAAAAAATAGTAATAAAAAAATTATTAATTAAAAATAGTAATAAAAAGAATTTGGTAATAAAAATTAACAAAAAAATTTAATAATTAAAATAACAGAAACAAAAAATTAATTCATAAAAATATATAATATAAATTTTATTAAAGAAATCAAAAGTACATAAAATAATTATAGTAAACTAAAAACAAATGAATCAATAAATTAAAAATAAATAAATTAACTGCAAATTAATTAATTATAAATACATAAATTAAAAATAAATAAATTAATATAATTTAATTTATTAATTTAATTAAGATAATTAATTATAAATAAATTAAAAACTAATTAACTAAAAATAAATAATTATAAATATATTAATTAAAAATAAATAAATCTCAAATAAATAACTTATATAAAAATTAAAAATTAGTTAGCTAAAAATAAATTTTTGTAGAAAAAAACACAGAAAACTCCACTTAAATGGGGAGTGTTTATTATCATTCGAAAGAACACCCTTTGGCATCGATTTTTTAAAGATTATCTCTTTCAAATGTTCCATTTTTGATGACTCGTTGGAGCATTCCAACCGGTAACTGGCGAACATCACGCGTGTTGTCTTGCTCCAAGGTCTGAATCGAAACGGGTTTGTCCGCATAGACTTTAGACTTTATATATCTACACAGAAATGAGTCTAACGTTGTCATATCACACGATCGATCAGTTTAAAACGTGTGCTCTCAATAAATCCATTGATTGATGCCATGTGTGGGAAGTGGTCTGGTTGAACCCAAATATCGCCGATATCACGAGTTTCAATTTTAGGCATCAAATAGTTGGTTATCATTGCGCGATAACGGTCTCCAACGAAGCCTCCACCGGCATCTTTTTGTAGAAATATGAACCGATGATTCCACCGACCCACAAACCACATTGAGCTGAAGTGGCAGCTTTTGATACTCTTCAAATGTGACAATTTTGCTTGCTTAAATACCCATTGAGCCAGAAATGGGCTTCTACGCTGTACAAAATTTGACTCGGAAATGTCGGATCTTCTTGGATCTTTTCAAAAGCCTATTAAGTGAAGCGATGTCACTTGGGAAGGTCAGCCGACTTCAGTTCTTGCACAAACTACACGCATAGTAGCTGTAGCTGTAGATTACGACGTATGTAAAATGCGCCAAGTCATTGCAAACGTTAGTCCGAGTTGCTGCGAACGACGTCAAAATGACTCTCCACGGTATTCATGTACACTCTCAGTTACGGCCGCAATATTCTTCTCTGCAGGCTGGTCGTGGTCTAATCGGTTGAATATTATCCAATTATTAATGCTGGGTCTCAAGAGAGGTTATGCTGTTGCAAATAGCACACTCAATAGGGAGTTGTTGATGCAGTTATTCTGAATTTATCGCGCTTTACTGGCCCAGTTTTCAACAAGTTCTCTCCAGCTAAACTTTTTAGCAAGCATTATATCAAAAAACTTAATAGAATTGAAGGGAATTATAGTGTTATCTCTGAAGTAAGGAGCCAAATTTAAGCCTTTTCGAATTTACTGAGAGTCCTTTGCTCAACCCAATCAGCTGCAATTTCTAGTGACCTCCCGATTACCCATGAAAGTCGATTGGGATGTTTACCAGAAGATAGGATGACGTGAGCCGTTGGAGTAAATGGTTTATCAAGCAGACAGCAGAGACAGAATGCCTTCTTGTAGATGGCCGCAGGTGAACTTATTAATGATTTTAACACCTACTGCTTCACATACCCCCGTCTACTGCTCAAGATTGGCTCAACCAGGTAAGTAAGTTTTGGTTAATTCCAAGTAAGGCAATTGACGAAATAAATGCGGTAGAGTTTACATTGTTAAAAGCACCTAATAAATGCCGCAAGAGTGCAATCTCGTTATATATTTATAAAGATTTTTTTATTGTCCTACTACTACAACAACTTCATAGAAAACGGTATCAATTGATTTACTTTTTGATATTTGATATAATTGCCACATATGCTTTTTACATTTATCATAAAAATTTGTCAGATTGATCGATATAGAGTAATGATCCTTACTAGGCGTCGGGATAAAAGCCCACCTGGGCTTCTTGCCTACCAGTTCGATGTATAACCGAGCCTCATTCAAGCAGCGTACATCGAGGCAAGTCTATGTGCCAGTAGGTGTGTACCTATACACAGCAAGGTAAAAAGGATTCCACTGGTACAGGCAGCTTTGAACAATTTGAAGCTTTTAAAAGCTCTTGACACTATTTCAGCGTTGAATTCGAGTTCCTCGTTTCGTTCACTTAACCGGGGGATGAGTATACAATAAAATGTTAAGTCTTAAGTATTTAAGTTTAAGGCGCATGATTATCAAGCCATAAGTGCGGACTGGATAAAGTTTTTCGACAAACAATGCTGAGTCTTGCTTTTCTTATAGCGGACGCGGTAGCCGAGCTAGCATTGCGTACTGCCATTTAAAAGGCTCGGAAGGCATGAAATAAATGGCTCTTCATAAAAAAAACCATCATACGTTCGGAGACGGCTTAGTATAAATTGTAGGTTCCTCCATTTGTTGGAAAAAACATTAAGACGTAGAACCACAAATTGGAGGAGGAGCTCGGCCGAAAAATCGCTTCACCGGTTATAAGGCGCCAAATATCTATGTATATAATAGCAAAATTGTCGGTCTCATTTTGGTATAAAATATGCGCTTTTATTATTTAAACAGCGGTTTTCACTGTGTATTTTATAAAATGCGTAAAATTCAACTCTGTTTTTTGACATTTCCTCGCTCATGACATACCGAACGTTGGAAGGGTAAAAGAGAAAATCTATTATTACTTAACAAAATAATATTTGCGACTGCGCGTTAAAACCAAATGATATTTGCATGAGCTTAGAAGATGACAAATGGTAAATGGCATAGTTTCAAATCGCATATCCCACCACTTGCTTAAAGCTCACATTTTAATAAAACAATTTTCCCGTGGCATACTTTCAGGCGAACATATGTAGTAAATGAAAAATGTGTATTTTAATTAATTTTACAACTTTGTACAACAAAATTTGATTTCAAATTGCCCATAAATGCGAAAAATTTTGATTTATTTTTAGTAAAGTGCTTACGACTTAGCTTTCAACGGTTATCAAAAATTAAGCTCACTTGGCTGTCTTGCCAAAAGCACAGTGTCGTGCGTAGGAATATTTGCGATTTCACTCGTCATTCAGTCAAAGATTTTCCGATATTGCGTGCACTTCAATAACCTCGGCCGAGACGTGCTTTCAACAAATTTAGTGTGAAAAAAAAGTGTAAAATTGGATTTTATTTTATTTCAAAATAAAATCAAGCAATTCGAAAACAATTGATTAGAGTAATTCATTTTCATTAGTAAACGCAGAGAGACGTAAGTTGAACAATTTCTTTCAAAGTTAAAGCGAAAAAAAGCAAAAAAAAATACTTTGGAGAGATTGAAAATTTTTGTGAAGGAATATATTTTTTCTTGATTTTCTGCACTTTTACAACCTCACAGTACTCATTTTTCCCCACCGATTTCAGTTTATCTTTTTAATATTTTCTATGTAAATATCGTTTTGATGATGTTGTATTTTGCATTACGCTACATCAAAACCCTTTAAATTGATTTTCTTTTCGTCGTTAACATTTATGAAAGAAAAATCTTTTCTTGAAAAATATCCTTACACATCCCTTTGCATCACCAGCTGTATGCTTGTGTTTGTGCGTGTGTATGGGCGATTGTGTGTTTGTTGTGTGTAAAAATCGATATTCCCCTCAGCCGTGGGCTGTGGTGTATCCCGAATATAGATTTCCAAGTACCCCTTCGTAGTCGAGTTACATTTTTGTCCGTTGCTTTTTTTTTACCACCTTTTCCGTATATCTTCTTACATACCTATTTTCTGTATATGTTGTAAATGCTCTCCTTGCATTATTGATGGTTGATGCTGCTGTCAGTGGCCTAGTGGCTAGTGGTGAATACGGTGCTTGTTGTGGTAGATGATGTTTGTCAGTGAATTGTGTGGTGAATTTGACGAGTTTGGAGAAAACGTTGAGCTTTACCACAGTCGTGGGCATATGTGTTGGTGTTAGTAGGCTAACGGCTAACGGCTAAAGGCTTACGAAGAAAAAATAAAATAAAATTACAAATTGAAATAGAAATTGAAATAAGAAATTACGTAAAAAGCAGTTGAGAAATATATATAATATATATATATATATATATATACATACATATATGAGCATGTATTTTTCATGATTTGAAAAATAAATAAGTGAAGTGCAAATGTGGGTTTCAGGTCAATGGAAATGGTGAGTCACAAATTCTTTTTAAGGGTATAAACAATTAATAAATTCATATTTAATTAGAGAAATTGCTTAAAGTCAATGTAAGACCTACATATAATCGTGCATATACATACATATGTACTTATTTAATTGAGTGCTTGTAATATCGCATATACATATATGTACACACAAACACATAAACATTTTAGTTATAATTCACACATTGATACATTTAACTGAATGAAAAAGGCAGCATAACAGCGGCTAAGGTCAATAATAGTTCAAGGTCAGCTTAAGATTTCTTCATTACCTTAAAATCTTTTCAATTATATTTGTTTGTTGTAATGTAAAATACTTTTATTTAATACACATATATATAAAAATATATATTATTTGTAAATATGTTCATACCAGGACTTTCGAGCAGTTAACGTACATGGCTGCGTAGGTAGTTAGGTAGCTAAGAGTGCTGACCGAAGGATATAAGCAAACGAAGCTACTAAATTGCAAATACGAAGTGAGACCAGATCGCTCTCCAACTGATCCTTCCAACAGCGTGTACCGCAGCGAATACTTTCAGAGTTGGAGTGCTTTAATTCATACGAACGACTTGACCGACGAGCCAGTGTAGTCGCTGTCCCTTCTGTCTCAATGTCACCGTAGAAATCGTACAACTCATCGTTCCATCGGCTGCGGTATTCGACGTAGCCTAGTCATTGCGCAAGGGGTCAAAAATCGTTCGCAAAACTTTACTCTCGAAGAATCCTATTGCCGTATAATCACATATAATCCACGCTTCTGGGAGATATAGGAGGACGGGAATTTTGAATGACTTGTAGATTTTGGTTTGGTGCTTCGAAAGAAGACGTCCAAAGTAGTCCAAAGTACCAGCTGGTGGTGAGAGTGATTTTGCGTTGTATTTCAAAGCAAACATTATATTTATTAGGTGTTAATGCTGATTCCAAGATAGACGATATTATACACGACCTCGACGTTGTGACTTTCAACTAAGACTTGGAAGCCAAGTCGTAAATGCGCCGACTGTTTGTTTGATGGTAAAAAAACCTGGTTTTGTCCTCACTCACTACCAGATCGATTCGCCATGTCGGCGTCATATGCCATCCGTTTATATATATAATTGGAACTTTGTAACCGTTGAAGCGATTTTCGGCCAAGCTCCTCCTTCAATTTATGGTTTTCCAACAAATGGAGGGACCGATGAAGATGCCTCCGAACGGCTGATGGTTTTTTTGGAGAGCCTTTTTTCATGTCAGCAATACATTCGGAGGGGTTGAAATTTCCTGCTCAGGGACGACCGCAATTAGAAAATTTAATTTTGGCTGTTAGTGCGATACCAGGATTTGAATCCCGAGCCTTCCGCATGGCAGTACATAATGCTAACCACTCGGCTACCGCGGCCGTTACCAGTTTTAGATTCTTATAAAATACTATACCTGCTATATTTAGATATGCAGCTCTTATTATTTTCTCTAGCATCAAATTGAATTTTGAATTCTGGCTCGCCAAAGTACCAGGAACCCATTATAGCGGCAATAAGTCTATATATATATTTTTCCTTGATGTTTTTAATAGATCATTTGTTCTGGTTATGTCCTACCTAGGCCAGATCTGCTTCAGAATAATGTTCACGTGGCCGGTGAGCTTATAGCCTTCTCACAATTATTTACGATGCTTGAATTTATCCGACAATTAATCCACCTGACTATCCGAGTATATAACTACCTCTCATTCTCATTTTCTCACAGTTATTCATTAGCGCGCTGTAGGTCTTTTCAATACCTAGTACTTTCACTTGGAAGTCGCTAACTGGTTTTGGTAGACTTAAAGATAGGGAAATTTTGAGATCTTCTGAGTATAGCTTTGCTCCCACTCTACAGTCTATTTTAAACCCGTAGGTGTAGATCGGAGTGGTAGTTTCCTCATATTGCACTGTTTTTGTAATATTGGTCACCAAACCATAGCTCCATATAAATATTAGTAGTGCCGGCTACGTATTCTTTTGCGGATGTAATAGGCTAAGCACATTTCAATCAATAGGTTTCAATTTCAATTTTCACAGATTTTGCTGTAGAGGACAAAGGGATTTTTATACCATTGAGTGAAGGAAACTGAAAATCCAGAATTTTACTCTTATTTGTGATTAGTATGAGTTCTGTCTTACTTGGATGATCATCCAGACCGTGTCTCGCGGTCGAAGATTGTAATCTTTCTACAGTTATTTCCACAATCTCATTGAGTTTGTCTGCGAGATCGTCGATGCCACCACTCATAAAAGCGGAGAGAACACACCTTCTTGAGGACTCCCTTTGTTGACGTAGATTTCCAGCTTCGCTGAGTCGCTGGATGATATAATCGTTCTGTTTGTAAGTCTATTGCTATGCTATTGATGTGGGTAACATTTTGTTAAACTGCTCGTTACTAACCGGAGATTGTGTATTTTGCTGCGGAGCACCGTTCCTTTCCGCAAGAGAACTCGAGCGATAGTAGTCAAAAGATTAAATAATAGATAGCTCGGTGCTGCCTTTAGTACCACAACCCTGATCTAAATAGTCTTGGCGGCCGCAATATTCGAGTGGTCAGTATTACTCTTCTTTTCATTTGAGTAGGACCCGCTTACGTGATTATAACCGAATTAACTTTTGTAAATATGAAGTGAAACTAGGGCGCTCTCCACCTGATCCGTCCAAAGGAGTGGAGGTCTTCCTCTTCCTCTGCTTCCAACAGCGGGTATGGCATCGAATACTTCAAAAGCTGTACTATGTCAATGTCGTCGTCATCGTTCCATCGTCTATGATATTCGCCACTTCCAATGCGTGAATGATAATTAACTTGCAGAGCTTGGTTTTTGCACGTCGAGAGGAATTAGTTTTCAATCGCCTACTCAGTTCATGTGGTGATGCCGATAATGTCAATATCATCGGCGTACCGCAGTAGTTGTACACTCGCAAAGAAGATTGTACCTTCTCTATTCAGCTCTGCAGCTCTTATAATTCTCTCCAGCATCAAATTGAAGAAATCACATGATAAAGAGTTATCCTGTCTGAAACCTCATTTGGTACCAAACGGCTCGGAGGGGTCCTTCCCGATTCTGACTGCTCTTCTGGTGTTTTCCAGCGCCAGTTTATGTAGCCGCATAAACTTTGTAGGAATAAAAAGTTCCGCCATAGCCGCCTAGGAGCAGCTCCTTCCAGCTCTTTCGGGGGTACCGCTAAAACCGTAATAAAGATGATGTGTATCGATTATTTTTCATAGGTCTTTTCCAAGATTTGGCGCAAGCACTGATGAGGTCCGACCAGTTTGTTGATGGTGGGATTTAGCCTTTCATGCGATTTTAAGAGATTAATTGCAGGGTAACTGGCGCAGACCGTGTTTTCTTTTGCCCATATACATTAAAGAAGCACACCTCGTCGGCTTTTCACCTCCATCTTTTAAAAGCCCAGCCGGTAAACCATCGACCGTAGACGCTTTGTTGTTCTTTAAGCAGGCAATCGCTTATTCGAGCCTCATCATAGTCGGTTAATAGTACTTCTTAGGAATCATCATCAATTAGAGTTTCGGGTTGTGTCGAGAAGTTGCAAGATAGCCAATTTGTTTTCTCTCCTCTGCAGTTTGGCATTGCTCATCATACCAGCTCTTTTTCTGGGCTCCTTTGAAGTAGTACAGACATTTACTTGTAGTTACTAACGAAGTTTGAAGCTTTGTATATTGCTCTATGTTTATGTTAATTTGTAGCTTGTAAACTCTTTACCTCAGTAGCGACTTTCCTAACGGACTGCATACACAACGGCAATACACAGAGGCACACTAATGAGACATATTCTCTTCCTTTGCAGACCGACATCGATGTCTCCGCAATTAGAGAATGCTTAAGTTACCAAAAGGCTTAAAAAAGAAAAAGAAGAAGTCGAAAAAGGATCAAGAACTCTTCACAGAAGAGGAACTCGAACAATATAAGCGCGATTTACGGGCTAAGCAGGAGGCAGCCGCTGCTAAATCGGACGCTGGTGAATCGGACGCAGCATCAGACGTTGAGGGTTTAGCACCAACTGCAGCATCCACTTCCAACGCAGCTCCGGCACAAACTGAAACAACTGCTGGGACTACTAACACCGATACAAGCGCTAACGGCGCAGCAGCGCCAACAGCAGCTGCCAAGAGTGCCGGAGAGGACGAGGAGTGGGCTAAATTTAAGGCGCTTACATCCGGTGTTGATACTATATTACACAAAACTCAAGACGAGTTAGATCGTATCAAAAAAGAATCATTTTATCAACGCTTACCATCAGCGGCAGAGAAGAAACGTCTCGAGGAAGAGGAAGCCGCACGCCGTGAGGCAGAGCGTTTAGAGGAGGAACGTCGTAAAGCAGCCGAGCTAGAAGCGCAGCGTGATAAACTAGCTGAAGCTGTTGTAGAGTTATCCGAATCGGATGGTGAGCAGGACGAAGAGATCGATGATATCTTCGCTACCGACTATATAGAAGCTATAACTAGTGGTGAAGTACAGTTAGCTGTTGTTCCCGAATCGCCTGTATTAGATTTGGACGACGGTCCAGATCCGTTTGATACCGCTTACGCTGAAAAAGTTATCGTTGGTGCAGATAAGGCTAAAGGCAATAAGAAACTTGTAAGTCTTGGCGCTGCGGTCGAGGTCCTTTCGGGACGTGTTGACCGTGAGCACGCACTTGCGCTTGCCAAACCCAAGCGCAAGCTACGGAAAGGCATACAAAATCTATTGCTTAGCGAGAGTATCGATCTTGCCGACCAGGAAGTTGAAATAGTCGCGGCAGAACCACAGAAGAATTTACTCGACGAATTAGTCGACGACGTACCCGAGCCAGATGCTCCGATTGATTTAAGTGTCTCACTGCATTTGCACTTGATACAACACAAGAAACAGGAAGAAGACGAAGAGGAGGAAGAAGAAAACGGTGCAGGTCTGCCGGATTTATCCGAGTTTGATACTCTTAAAGACGACGATGATGATGAATTTGCTGAATTAGCTGCAGAATCATTGACAAAGAAAGAAGAAGTAAAAGTAATCACACAGATACCAATTCCCCAACCGGAAGCACTCTCAGAAGTTGTTGACGCTGATTGGGCAGAGTTTGAGCAAACAGTAGAGGAAGAGTCACAAGCCGCAGTAGGACCCGACGGCAAGGGTAAGATAAAATATTTTATCTCTAGCTTACTTCGTTTCCATAAACGTGTATTTTTATTTTACAGCCAAGCCCGCACGTCCACCGCCGCCTGCTCGGCCCACTTCAGGCCCACATTTAATACCCGGTGCCATTTACGTGAGTGACGACGAAGAAGATTTCGCTGCAGACGATCCATTCAATACCGCTTACGCTGAGCAAGTTATCAAAAAGACTACCGTACTCGAGGAAGACGACGACTTCGATCCAAGGGCTGAAGAAAAATCAGCACCACCGGTGAAACCACCACCACCAGCGGCAAGTTTATTATCACAACCAACACGCGATCTCTTGGGCGGCAGTGCCACCGATTTATCCAAGGTTGGTCCGGCTCCTATAGCGCCGACACAAGAAACCGAAGAGGAACCAGCGGATTTCGATCCATTCGATACCTCAGCGGTTAGTGCCATCGTTCAACCAAAGGCGACAGAGTTAAAGTTTTTGGAGCGTGAACTTTTGCCTGAAAGTAATCTCAAGCATTCACTCAGTGATCCAGACTTTGATCCACGTGCAGACGAGCCGACAGTCACCGCCGCTGCAACAAGTACTGCAAAGCCGCCGGCCCGACCGGCCGCACCCATTGTGCAAACACAATACACTACTCCAACCGTTGACTTTGATACTGCACGTCGCAAGTCTTCCTTAAGTTTGAATATTCAATCTAAAAGTGTTGGATTCTTAGTGCCAACACAAGATTTGCTCGGTGCTTCGAATGACGGTCACGGCAATAAAAAGCCACTGACACCTTATTACGCACCAAGCGGCGCACCGGAGAAAATCTGTGAGAAAGACTCTGAAGATCCCTTCGACACATCCTATGTACCAGAGGCGAAACCCAGCGAGGTTGAGTTAAAACATCTTGAGCAGGATTTATTAACTAAAAATACACTAAAACATAGTATATCCGATCCTGATTTCGATCCACGTGCACCACCAACGCCGGTGCCTGCGGAAGAGCTCTTAGCCGTAAAGGAAGATATTAAAGCGAAAGTTTTAACGCCATCTCAAGAGAGTAAGGATATACCAGACGACACAGCTGAATATATAGATCCATTCGATACATCCATTGCGTCTAACCTACAACCAGGCAAAGCAGAGTTAAAGCTATTAGAGAGTGAACTTTTGCCTCCCACAGTACCAGAGATAACCACTGGTGTGCTCGATACACAGACAGACGCGCAGGAACTCGGTCTGGGCGATAAAGTTCTCACACCCTCTGTGCCCGTAAAACAAATTACACTTCCCGAGGAGGTTGATCCGTTCGATACTTCTATTGCCGAAAATCTAGCACCTGGCGCTACAGAAATCAAGTTGCTTGAGAGTGAATTAATTGAACGTTAAGTCTTTACGAAAATCCAAGAAGACAAAATGGCGAATCCATTTTTAATGGACGAAGATTTGGGTGGTTTTGATGCTGATCCCACGGCCAATCCTTTCTTTTCAAAAGCAGAAAGTGAGGAAGTTGAAGCAGAAGCGGAAAATCCATTCTCCGGCCAATCTAATCCATTTGCTTTTGGCGATGAGCCCGAAGATGGGGCCGCACCTGCATCGGATATTGATCCAGCGATGAGCTTTTTTGGTACAACCATTGAAGCGGAAGATGATGCACTTAGCATTAAATCCACGGCTGAAGAAGAAGATGATACCACAAAGCGTGGTCCACCACCTGGGCCTGTGCCACCGCAGACACAGGAACTCATTAATACAGTTTCCAATCAGATGGAGGAGGCAAGCTCAGAATTACTGGGCCGCATACCAGCTACACGTTCGCCCAGTCCTGTTTCAATGCGCGACTTACATTCACCTAGCCCGACACCGGATTCCGGTTTGGCAGATCTTCTAGATGTGTCCGATAGTGGTTCATCCGGGAATACACAAGGATTCGATATGGACTTAACTGGTAGTGGCGGTATTAGCAATAGTACCGATAATCCATTTGGTGTGCCAACGGCTATTCCTAGTTTACACGGTGCTACACCAATGCCTTCACCAGCAAAGCAACAGCCTCCGCGACCACCGCCACCACGGCCAGCACCACCCAGACCTACACCGCCAAGTGGTGTACCAGCACAACAAAATCAGCCACCACCACGACCAATGCCACCAGCACCAGTACCAGAGCCAGTGGCACCTCAGCCAGCTGCTCAGACTTCAGATTCCGACGATCTCTTCGATATGTTTGGTACTTCCCAACCCCCCAAGCCGCCACCACCAAAGACCAAGGAAGACATTTTGAGTCTCTTTGAAAAACCAACACAACCAGTGTCCAAACCGGATCTCCTAAGCGATGATCTGGTACTTGATCACTCGGGTGAAGTGGAAGAAGATGAAGAGTGTAAATCAGGCGAAGATCCTATTTTCAGTTCTATGTTAACACGTCCTGATGAGAGCACACATGATATTACATCACAGCCACAGGCAGCAGATCTCAACATATCGCTGATAAATAATGTGGAACGGAAAGAGCTGGTTATCGATGATACAAAACAACGTGCACCTACTCCAGACATTGAAATAACGACTGTAGAAGATCTCCCACGCTCTGACGATGAAGACGAACCAGAACCTGAACCTGTAAAGCCGACACCGCCCGTGGTTATTGAAACTAAGCCCAGCCCTGATGATGACGAAGAGGAGGAGGAGGAGGAAGAAAAGGAAGCCCCTCCGACCGTGAGTGCAGAGCCCGCAGCGTTTACTTCAGTTGATTCTGATCACAGCCCACCTACAGAGTCGGGCGCAACTACGCAAGCTATGCCAGAATCCTCGTTGGAAGCTACTACTGAACAACAAAACAGCGAGTTTGAACAAATGGATACCGGTCTAGACTTTGCACCCGCTAGCGCTATTGCAAGCGGCACTGCCTCCGCCAATCCTTTCGCTAGTCCCGACGAGGAGGAGGAGACGTATCCACCAACGTCGGTGGTGACGAATATATTCGCAATTGAAGATATGGACGCGGCGGTGGTGACTAATATTTTCACTACTGCGACTGATACTGTTACAACAACTGCGGTACCTGTAAATATTTTTGCCGCTGATCCGGAACCGGAGGCGGTAGAAGCGGCAGCGTCTACATACACAGCCAACAACATTTTTGCCAGTGAGCCAGATGAGTTCGACGCCTTTTCAGCCAAATTTGATTCGGTTAAAAAGGACAACATAAGCATTCTTGACGGCTTTGGTGGTTCCGGCGCTGTAACACCTTCTGGTGGTGATGGTAGGTTCTTTTGATAGCTCGAAATATAAAATATTAATGTAGATATATTTAACTTTTAGCCTGGGGCGACAGTGCATTTGGCTCACCTGCCGCAGCTGTAGACGCATTTGGCGCTACGGATGGCTTTGAAAATGAAGACGACGACTTCTACGCAATGAAAGCGCCCGAACGCGCTGATTCCGTTGAGTCCGTTGATAAGGAATTCAACGTTGTTATACGACCAAAGGGCGAAAGCGCACAGACAATTGCACCACAACTGGCGCCACCACCACCACCTGCACGTGGCCAAGTCAGTCAAGTTGCAAGTGATGCTTCGCCCGTTGTTAATCCCTTCGAGGATACTGGTTTCCCGGCACCAGCGCAAAGCGACGAAAATAAAGTAAAACGCACAGACTCACAAGATACACCGCAAACGCCGCTCTTCGATGAAGATGTCTCACAACCGCTCGAAGATTTTCCACGTTTGAATTATGTTGGACCAGGCTGGGAAATGCAGTTGCGGCAACCGAATAAAAAGAAGATTACCGGCCAGCGGTTTTGGAAGAAAATCTTTGTACGCCTAGTAGTGCAGAACGATGTGCCCGTGGTGCAGCTGCTTAATCAAGCGAACGACAAGCAACCATTCCAGGAATTGCCACTTCAGCCATCATACTCCGTTTCGGAGATCGGCGCACAGCAATACGATCAGTTTGGTAAAATCTTCACCGTAAAACTGCAGTACATCTTCTATAAGGAACGTCCTGGTGTGCGACCTGGTCAAGTGACTAAAGCCGAACGAATCACGAATAAACTTACGAAATTTGCACAATACGCCATCGCAGGTGACTATGAAGGAGTAAAAGAATTCGGCAGTGATTTGAAAAAGCTTGGCTTGCCCGTTGAACATGCGCCACAATCGTCGCAACTATTCAAAATCGGCTCAATGAACTATGAGGATATGAAACAGTTCTCCATCTGCATCGAGGAAGCGCTCTTCCGTTTGCCAGCGCTACGTGAACGCGCGCTCACCTACAAAATGGAGGAGGTACAAGTTACAGCGGTCGATGAAATAGTGGTCGACCAGGACTTCGAGGGCAAAATTTTAAAACAAATCGCACGCGTGCGTCTATTCTTTTTAGCGTTTCTCACAGGTAATATATGACGAAGAACAAGGAAGAGTCTCAACTAAGATTAACCAAAACACGATTTTCGTTTCTAGGAATGCCCACAATAGAGCTGGGCGTGAATGATATGTGGCGTCAGGGCAAAGAGGTGGTGGGTAGACATGATATCATACCCGTGGCTACTGAGGAGTGGATACGTTTAGAGGCCGTTGAATTCCACAGTGTGGTGAATCAAGAGGAGTATGAGAAGACGCGTACAATTAAGTGAGCGAGATAATGAAATTCCTTAAAAAAAGAAGAAACTCTAGAAACACATTTGTGTTATTAAATTCTTGCAGGTTCCAGCCACCGGATGCGAATTATATAGAGTTACTACGTTTCCGTGTGCGTCCACCAAAAAATCGCGAACTTCCATTACAACTAAAAGCCACTTGGTGTGTCACAGGCAATAAGGTTGAGTTGCGTGCCGATATACTTGTACCGGGCTTTACATCACGCAAATTAGGCCAAATACCATGCGAAGATGTCTCAGTACGTTTTCCTATACCGGAATGTTGGATCTATTTGTTCCGTGTGGAGAAACACTTTAGGTGAGCATGAGTTTGAGCAGTCTTCTTGTGCTTTATCTAAGCCCATTTATCTTAGGTATGGCTCTGTGAAGTCCGCCCACAGACGGACAGGTAAAATCAAAGGCATCGAACGCATTTTAGGCGCTGTTGATACACTGCAAGAATCACTCATCGAGGTCACTTCCGGTCAGGCAAAATACGAACATCATCATCGCGCTATTGTCTGGCGTTGTCCACGTTTGCCAAAAGAAGGCCAAGGTATTTCCTACACGGTTTTTTATCTCAGTTTTAATTTGAAGAAAATTTAATTTTTTTTAAATTGTTTTTTTTTAGGCGCTTATACCACACATCAATTGGTTTGTCGTATGGCTTTAACCTCCTATGATCAAATACCAAGCGAATTGGCGCCGTACGCATTTGTTGAATTCACAATGCCAGCGACACAAGTCTCGCATACAACCGTGCGTTCGGTGAGCGTACAAGACTCGGACTCGGACGAGCCGCCCGAGAAATATGTTCGGTATTTGGCACGACATGAATATAAGTAAGTTTATTATTTATATTGGATAATAATTAAAGTGTGCATTGAAATTAATTGTAAAGTCGGCATCACGGCTGAGGAGTCTAACTGTAAAAAGTTGATGGAGATGTGATGGAATGCGGTATACAGTTATCTATTCTCCTTCTCAATATGCGTATATACTGTTTACGTGCCGAGTTAATAAAACGTTAGTTGCTTCATATTTTTACTGTTTCGTGACAGTTGGAGGTATCAAGTGAAGCCGGGCTATTTTGAATCTTCGGAATGAAGGTTTCGTCGTACTTTATGGTTACCGAGGTATCAAATAGTATAACAAAGCATCGTATACTTTTTAAGCTGGATTCCCTTTACCCAACCGGAGGACATGACTTAACCGGGCTGCCTCAATATTCCTTAAAAAACATATGTGATTAAAGTAGTCAGTCTAGAGGGATCTGCGTTTAAAAGTTAAAATAACTTGTGGTTTTTGTTGATCCTAGTTCATAGCTAGATGGACATTTTTTTATGGCTGCCAACATTAACGTCGGCATCAAAACTCATTTCTTACACTCTCTTGTCCAGTCTTGAAAGGTCAGAACTAACGCTAAATCTTTTAAAGTCAATGGTGATGATAAATATCATCGACGGAGATGTGAAGGGCATCTAACCAGTCGTAAAGTCGCACTAATCTACGGTAATTGGCTTGAATTGTGGGGTTCTCCTTTTATTATTTAGGCAGAGCACACTCAGTTCAAGTCTTCAGACATACTTAAATCTGGCCATATCTTGCTACTTCGTGAAAACCTTCCTGTACTCTCTTCCAGTGAATGACGTTATCGGAGTCAAACCACCACTTCACGAAGAGCTCAAGCTGCTGTGGCAATACCGGCATAACTAAAAATTGGATATTGTATTCGACTAAACTCTTACCTATGCAGGCTTTACCCGGACATACAAGCGTATGTCCTGCATGCAATGAGTTCTTGAATAACAATAACCACCTCTTTGGATGCCTCCTAAGACCAAATCAGCCCTAACCTTTCCTTCCTAGTCCCCACCCGTCGAAACAGTTCGTTTCCTAAACATCCTGTTAGATGATCTCTATGACTGATCAGGTCTGCGTCTAAGCAAGTTAACTATACATTATAGCAACAACAACAACTATATTTTCCTCAGTTCTACGCCGCAAATCAGTGTTTTTTTTAACTTCTTTATTCTGATGTCGAATCTATCGATTGAAGATTCAGGTATCCAACACCACTTTTGGAATGCGTTGATACAAACCCTAATTTCTCAATCAACGTAAAGCCGCGGGGTAGTTTTGAATGCTACTTTTACTTACTTTTAGCACAACTTTTACCTCTAATCCCCATAGCATTTTGATTTTTCTGCAGCTTATCAAGACATGTACCCTTTCTGAAGGACAGGGCTGACTCTTATCGCATCAAAACTCACCATACTTACCATTTCCTAATGTCAGTTCTATCTTTTGTAGGCCTGTTTTTTTAGGTTACCCAAAAATCGACGTTGTCTTGTTGGCGTAGACCTTATCTTTCATGTGGTCGCAAAGGAAGAAGTGCCAAGGTGTTAAATAACAAGATCTCGGTGGGCGGCATTGGCCACCTCTTCGAGAGATAATGCGACCTGACGATTCTTCCCTTAAAAGATCGCTAGTTTCGTAGCCTGTGCGGCACGTAGCGCCGTCTTGTTGAAAGTAAACATTGTCCAGATCAATATCATCCAATACCGGCCATTAATCATCTCTCGATAGCGCTATCCATTCACTGTAACTGTTGTGCCAGCCTAATTCTCGGAAAAGAAAGTTCCGATGACACCAATCGGACCATAAACCGCACCAAACTGTTACAACTTGAGGATGAAGAAGTTTTTCAACGATAAATCGTTTGTGATTTCCGTACCCCAAATGCGAGAGTTTGTCTTATTGACATAGCTATCGGGGTGGAAATGGACCCCCATCAGTCAAGATGATTTTTGGTAAAATACCGGACTCATTTTCATGCATTTCAAGGACGCAATCAGCAAAGGCACGAGATTATTGATAACCCGGTCGGTTTGAGTTCTTGTGTTAACTGAATTTTAAGCCTTAAAACCCAAGTCTGAATCCAAAATATGGTGTAGTGACGTTTGTGCAATGCCAAATTCCAAAGAACGACGAGGAATAGACAAAACTGGGTTTTCTGCAATACTTTGTGCTACAGCAGCAATATACCCAGTTGTTCTTGGGCGTCGTGTTTTATGCTTCATAGCACTGACTAGTCCCAACAGCTCCATTTTTTCCAACAATTTCTGTATTGCGATCCGCCAAGCTGCTTCGAGACGATCGGAAAATGTTTTTAGTTGTCTGTCTCTGCCAGGCTTTCATTGTTTTTTTTAGTGAATTTTGATAATTTCAATGGCTTGTCGAAGCGTGCATCGTTCCGTTGGTTTTACTTGTAGAATGTCAAAAAATTACTGCTTCAAAAGTGACATCTAGCGGACTAGTAGCTATTTAAAGTAGTCGGCCATGAATGGTATAACCGAGATGGCCTTTTTAAACTGCTTCTTCTTATGGAAAGCTAGTTATAACATACACTCGAAATTATTATAATATAAAAGAAGTTGAACAAACCTTCTCATTATTAATCCTCATATTTTTCCAGGGTCGGCATTGAGACAACACATGGAGAATCGACCAACGCTTATTTGGCTGCTACACGTGCGATACGCGAAGAGCCAACACCCACAAAACCTGTGGCCTCTCCTGTGCCACCGAGCGATTCGGATTCCGATTCGAATTAAGTATGAAAATAGCAGGAATTACAAATACACACATAAAATAACAGAAATATACCAAAAACGTAGAAAAAAGTGTAGAAATCATAAATTCATAATAAAGCAAAAGAGAAAGTTGATTTAAAATTGCATATTCATAGCCAAATTTCAATAAAAAAAAGCAACAAAAATATAAGTCGGCAGCATTTTCATAAAAAAAAAATCAATAAGTAAAAATATACACTAACAACTAGTAGAGATTATTCCATTGCTCTGTAGACAAAATCATGAATAGCATAGCAAAATATACATACATACAAGTAATGTAAAGCGAGAAAGTAATGGGTTATACAAGAAACTATGAACAAATGATTATTTATAAAAGGTAGAAAAGGAAAATCGCCATCAGAAAGCTATGGGAGGGAGGTTGTGCTGGCAGTCGACGCCGAAGACCAACCACATCGAAGCAATATACACGTAGTATAATACATACACATACATATGTATATATGCTGCATATTGCGCGTAGTTAAATCATATATAAAGGAAATCTCTTAAACATCTACATACATAAATATTATATTATTGTATTTCGTTTGTTACACCAGCTAAGGAAAGTGAAGGAATGGAAGTTAAAAAAAAACCAAAAAAAAAAAAAATTTTAAAACTTAAAAAAAAAGAAAGAAAATTTATATGGATTAAGAATATGTGTTAAATATAGAAAATTTACATATAAACATGCATATACATATTTATTAGTTGACAATAAGATTTTGAAATGCACGTGTTGCTCGTTTCTATAATATGTATGAGTCACACACACACACTCACTCACGGCATAATGTATGTTATCCTTAACATTGTATTATGTATGTATGTATTTAAAAAAACTACTTATACAAATATCAGGTAAATTTATTAACATTTACGCTTTTATTGTTATTAAAAAGTTATCTTAATTACGTATAAAAATTAAAAACTTAAAGTTTTATTAAATTAATTTATTTAAAGTTTTTCATCTTAATCATGATGAGTATGATGATCGTGTAAACGAAGCACTTAATTAAGCGATTTAAATATAATTCATATTATTATAAACACACACACTACATACGTGTATATCTATGCGAAATATAAATATAATATATATAAATTAACTGAGTATTATTATATAATTTCTAGAGTTTATTTTAAGTATAGACCACAGAGTGTTAATACATATTTACGGGAATGAGTGTCACAATTTTGAAAAAGTTTTGTTAAAAACAATTTTGTTTGGTGTAATGAAAGCTTACTCGTCTCATCTGCATCGAACCATTTGATAAACATGCATAGGTGTTGCTGATTAGACTACACCTGAACTGATGCAGATCTCGTAGAGTGCATATTACAAGAGCTTTTGAAGATATTGATGTACTCTCCATGAATGTCGTACAAGATCTGTCGGTAGGATGCCTTGCCCAGTGGTTTATTGGCATATGAACTCAATGAAAAGCCCACAGTTGGTTGGCGGAGGACACCAGCAGCTTTTGACCTCGAAATTTTTCAAATAACTGTCAACCACACAAGCAGCTCATGGTTCAATTCTTAAATCAGGACGGCCATGATAATCCCTCAGTGTCCGATAGTAGCACTCGATGCTATGACAATTTGCGCTAAGTGTAGTTGAGTCCTTAGATTTTTCGAGTGTTTTTTTTAAGGGCGTTAAGTACGGCGATAGAGGTGCTGGGCACTTTGCCGAAGCCATCTGCTGTGCTCAAGTGGTGTGGGAATGGCGGAGAGGCAGCAAAGCAGCTATGCCTCAATTGCTATATGATTCTACTTTGTTGACAGGTTTCTCCTGTTTAGTTAGTAGCGGCACCACTGACGGATATTTTAGAGTGCTCAGTGAGAGAATGAGAAGCAGGGTGAGAAATTAGGCTACCACTGGATCCAGATCTCTCTCTTCTCTCTCTCTCTCTCTCGTGAAATCAAGCCCGGATTTTGTGTTTGTCCGCTTGCTCAGGCGGCGAGACACTTTACGCTACGGCTCTGACACGAATCAAATAACTCGCGGATCCAATGAGATGTTGTGATTGCATAAAATTTTCTCCCGGACATTGCGTTTTGTTAGATTTGACAATGATTTGTAGGTGGTTTTTGGACTCAGAGTCGGTATTATTCTTCAAGCTTAATTTAATTTAATTCTCTTATTATTTATTATCTTTGGTTTTTTTATTTTGTTTTATTTTATTCAATTCAATTTACTTGAATTTAATTTTATTTATTTTAATTTTGTTTATAATTATTTATTTTATTTTGTTTTCTACCTTTTTAAATTTTGTTTAACTTCATTTTATTTCATTTGAGTTTACTTTTTTCATATTATTTTTTTTGTTTTATTCTCTTTTATTTAGTTTTAATTAAATTTATATATTCAATTTTTTCATTTCATTTTATTTATTTTTTATTCCATTTTATTTAATAATTTCGTTTTATTTTATTTTTTTTAATTCCATTTTATTTTGATTTACTAAATTATTTTTGTATTTATTTAAATTAAATTAATTTAATTTTGTTTGTATTGTACATAATTTTATTTTTTTTGTTTTATATTAATTGTTTTATTTTAAAAATTTAATTTTTAATTAAATTAAATGAAATAGAATAAAACAAAGTAAAATAAATGGAAAAAAGTAAATTAAAACAAAATTAAATAAACTAAATTAAATTAAAATAAAATAATGTCAAAGAAATTTTTATAAATTCAAGTAAAATAAAATAAATTACTTTATTTGTAAAAACTTATTTCATGTTATTTTTTTAATTTAAGTTGATTTATTTTATAATAATTTAATATAACTTATTTTATTTTATTTTAATTTACTTCTCTCCGTTTTATTTTATTTTGTTTCGTTCTATTTTATTTATTTTTAATTTAATTTGTTATATTTTAATATTTTTTATACTTTCTTTTTATGTTATCAGAAATAAAATCTGTTTATTTAAAATTAATTAATATATAAAAATTAAAATATTTTAATTTATTTTTTTATTTCATTTAATTTTATTTAATTTTTTTATTATATTTTTTTGTTAAATATTTTTTATTTCATTTTGTTTTATTTCGTTTTATTCCATTTTGTTTGATTTTACCTAATTTTTTTTTGTATTTTATTTCAATTAATTTAATTTATTTGTATATAATTTTATTATATATATATATATAAATTTATTTTATTATATTTGGTTTTCTCGTATTTTTCTTAATGTTTTTAATTATATTTTATTTGATTTATATATTTATAATTTGATACGAACCCATTTTTACAAGCACTAACTTAATTTAGTTAAACATCGCAACTCATATTAATCACTCTGATGAGTTGCTAGCATATAAAAGACACCTGGCTAGTAATTATGTACAGTTATGTTACAGTAGAATTGAAAATTGTGCATACAAACATTCTTGAGGCACTTTCAATAAAGTAGAAAACCAAACTCTTCATATTGCAGAACATAAGAGGAACAAAACAAAAATAAATAAATAATATAAACCAATTACAACAATGGACAACAATGGCAAATAGCATACACTAATATAAATTACACATGAATGTACATAAGTGTCATGAAATCGATAAATGTTTGTGCTTACATTGCATCCAATAAGCTATGCTTAGCTTACAAACGCTAACAAAACCATAAAAAAAACAAGAAAATCAGATATCAAAACCAACTGCTCACCTAGTAAAGGGCCTGAAAAAAAATAAAACAAAATTAATAGAAGCAATCAATGTAACTAAGAGCAACTCTACTATACTCGTACATAAATATATAAACACATACATAGTTACGTAATTGTAAACTAATATATAGGCTACTATTAAATAGCAAACAGCAAACATAAAAAACCTAAAAAAAAACTAAAAAGAAAATAAAATAACAGAAATTGGAAGAAATATTGGCAAGCAGAAAATCTAAATTCTCGAATTGAACTTGAACCTAATGAAGCTGAATTAGTTTACTAACTACTAGTTGTTGAAATAATGCATAAACTTAGCGCAACTATAAGTATATACAAAATACTGTACTAAAATATAATGTAATTGCATGGAAATAAAAGAAACAAAAAAATAATAATTTTAATAAATTAAATAAATAAAAATAACAAATGTTCAAAAAATCAAGTTGTTTGTATTAAATTAAAGCAAAACAAAAACATTAATAAATGTATCTTTCACTTTAAATGTGCATGAAAAAGTTAAGACTAAATTGAAAATAAATTATTTAAGAAAAGTATTAAAATTGAATAAAACTAAGTATCTGAATGTTATTATTGTGAAACGAATTTAATTGCAGCAATGTTATTATGACTTTCAGTTCAATAGAAAATGAAGCTAAAACTTGAAGCATATTAATTGTACTAAGCTGAGTATTTAAATACAAAATATAAATAAAAACAATTCCGACAACCATTGTATGTATTTAAAATAATTATCATAATATAAATCGATGTATCCATTTACTACGTGTAGACTTCGTCAACTAGTTGTTCAAAAACTCATTAAAACAAGGCTGCATCGTAACGATAATATTTCACGTTAGACAAAAAATTTTACACGATTCGGTGTTGAAACATTGGGAAATGTTATCAAATTAAATTTTATTTCGTTTTTAAAAGTAACGATTAACGTTAAAGCGTTAGCAGAAAATGTTAAAGCGCTAACAGAAAATGTTAAAGCTTTAACAGAAAATGTTAGATCGCTCACAAATAATGTTAAAGCGTTAGCAGATGATGTCAAAGCGTTAACAGATGATGTCAAAGCGTTCACAGCAAATGTTAAAGCTTTAACAGAAAATGTTAAATTGTTCACAGCTAATGTTAAAGGCTAAAATTGAAGTGTGCAGTTAATATCAAAGCAAGCAGCCACTTTAAAAATAATTTTAATGATGAGTTTGTGCGGTTTCAACATTATCAATTACAGTTGGTTTCTATAACACGACGTCAGCACGAAAAAATCGCAATGGCAACTCTGCAGTAAGCACTATAATTAAGAGAAGTGTCTAGGGTAGAACGTAAAATTTAGGCACGTATTCGGTATTTATGCTCAAAGAACGTTGGTCTTTCCCA